GTTTGAATGATCATTTCAAAATCGAACCGTGGACGAGGTACATTCCCAAACGTTTCGCCGGCATCGTAGTTGGAATCGTCAGTGAGTATCGCCATTCTTAGCACCATACAACAACTCGTCAAGGAGACAAGAAATCCACTTGAGATTCAGCGATTAATTGACTTCACTTGTCTCTTTGACGAGTTCGTAGCGAATGGCAAAACTCACTGATGATGCCGACGAAACGTTTGAGAATGTACCAAGTCTATTGTCTGATTCTTGGAATTATGACAACTACTATTACATACGAATTCGGATTAGGTGCGTTCTACTAATTCGCCCTGACAACAAGACCAAGTTGCGACAACGAGGTCAACCCACAATGATACTATTACATTTTAATATATATTAATTTAATAATAATTTGATTGAGCGAACTGAATAAAAAATAAAACTGCGATCAAACAGGAAATGCATGGTAATTGTTTCGAGGCTTACTTAGCATAAAGGCAGAACAAGCTTTCAATAAAAAAAGCCAAATTAAAGAATATCCCAATTTTTACCAAGAAAAATAACTTGTGAAAAGATTATTATCATGGATAATTCAATTAAATGACGATGAAGCCGGAAGTGAAATGGAAATTACCGACAATAAGCAACTTTAGTGTACTAAGCATTGCTATTAAGATATTTTATGGCAGACAAACGGCTTTTGGGTTGCTTGATTGTGTTGGCCTCTCAGAGATAAATACTTCTATAGGGAATAAGGCATATAAGCTTAAACAAGACTTAACTAAAATCATACGATTTCAAAAGATAGACGTATTTGATGAAGAATGTATAAGGTACTGTCAAAAAACTGTTTATGCAATCAAATTCTTGGATCTTTCAGTCCATCTGCATCGATAAGTCTCAAGCTTTAATAAATCAATAAACAAACAATGAGTTAGGATATTTGTGGATATTGCCCAAAAGAACCAAAAACAGGACTTAAGAGAAAAAAATCAGAGTTTGCCCAAGTAATCTTAAAATATGCTTAATTGTTAATTGTGGCTAATTAGACCTTGCAGATTTTAACTGAAAGCCAAATACTTAAGTCAAGAAAATGCTAGTCTCAGCTGATCTAGCTAAAAATAGGGACAAATGAAAACTTCTAAGGGCTATTTCGATCTTTATTTTGTTCTAAATGATGTAAATAATAGCGCAAAACATAAATCAAAACTGAAAATTACATTTATCGAGTGTATTTCAACCAGGTGCAAGTTGAAAAAATATGATTAGTAATGTGATTCTTTGCTATTACTAAAATTCATCTATAAGTTAATGAAAAATATATCAAAATATTCTAATAATGCTACCTTGGTGACGCGTTGCCGCTTTGGTCTGGCAGCTACACCTGGGGAACCAGGCTGTACTGTCCTTGTAGGAGCTCCAGCTCCTAAGCTAGCATTCTGCTTCGCTTTGTTGGCTGAAGATACGGTTGATTTGCCAACTTTTTGCAGAGTCGGTGGAGATCCTAGCCCTGTTAGGTGGGTTGGATGAGGTTGGTGCGGCGCCATGCCCGTTGATAAAGAGCAAGTGTCTGGAGGAAGGTTAGAGACTGCATGTGCAGAAGGTAAGGGCATCTGAATGAGCGCGCCTCCAGCAGTAGACAAAATTCCGGGTCCTGAACCCGGATTTGGCGTTGAGATTGAGGTCAAGGAGTTGCAAGCAGGCCCTGAAGGGGCGATAATCGAAGGAGCGGATGATGGCGAAGTTGAAGTACCAGTGAAACTAGACAGGCTAGTAGCACATGAAGAGGAAAGCATGAGACAAGGAGAATTAGAAGAAGCTACTCCAGAAAGTATAATGGAACCAGGAGGCGTCAACTGGGCCGGTGTACCATCTAGGCCATTCGAATTGGCAGTGCCGAAGCCTGTGCTGCTGGGTGGTCGCTTGAGGACAAAGGAGAAAAAAGACAAAAACAATACAATGCTTGTTCAGGAAGACAAGAGAATAATTCACAAAAATGTCCTACAATTGACTCATAATTATATTTAGGAAGGTCACTATTTCCTAAACCGTTTTGCATGCAAATGCTTAATTGATAATGCACG